ACGATTTTAATTTGTTATTGACAATAAATTTTTTAATTTATTATCTTTTTGTAAGTTACGAATACATTTTAACACAAATGCGTTGTTTGTTTAAGTAGTAGCTAATAATTTATTAACTTTTTTGACTTTTATCGTTAATATACGTTGCAAACTATTTGTTATCAATGATTTTACTTTGTTATTAACAAGAAATTTATTAATTTATTAGCTTTTTGTAAGTTACGAATATATTTTAATACAAATACGTTGTTTGTTTAAGTAGTAGCTAATAATTTATTAACTTTATTGACTTTTATCGTTAATATACGTTGCAAAATATTTGTTATTAACAATAAATGTAGCAATTTATTATCTTTTTGCTAATTATAGATACATTTTCACGCAAATACGTTATATGTACTAGTAATAGCCTATAATTTAGTAATTTTTCCAACTTGTATTATAAATTTACGTTGTGACCAATTTGTTATTAGAAATAAGTATAATAATTTTTTCACTTTTGCAAATTATAGGTACATTTAAACATTAGTATGATATTGTTCAAGTAATAACCAATGAATTAATTCTTTTCTTGTATTATAAATTTACGCTATGAACAATTTATTATTAATAAGAAATTGGATTATTTATACATTTTTATGAACTATAACTGTATTTGAATGACGTCATTCCCAAGAATTCCGTCCATTTACCTCTCGCAGCCTCAAAAATCGTCAAATGTTTAACTGAAACATCGAAAATTTATAAAAGGTAAAAAATATCTTAAACTTTGTTCGTAGCTCTTAGCTTGGTATCGTTTTCCAAAAAATAATTTTTGGAAAACGATACCAATTACCAGGTCTCACCACGTGGAGGTGGCTACTCATCGAGACCCGACATGCGTCCTAGTGGCGCATCCTACTGGCGCTATCTGTATCAAAGATATCTAATCTAACTTGGAGCGAAAGAAGTTAAAACAAAAATCGACTGACACTTTATTATATTTCGTGTCTAACAAAGGGGACTTCGATTCGGTATACTACAACTCTATTCTCGCGACACTAAGATATTTTATTTCTTACAAAAATAGGGAATAAAATATAAAACACGCGAGCAAGTTAAAAATCGCGACGCGCCGGAACGAGATCGCGATTATTCGAAAGACCGACTAGCCTACGAGACGTACTCTCGTGTACAAGACAACTTCATGCCTCGGCACCCTCGCGATCGAACCTAGCCCACCCAGCCACCACAGACCCTGCCATGACTTACTCGCGAACGAGAGCGATCGACGAACCAACGAAACATCCAAAATCAAGCCGAGGGTCCCTAGCGAGGCCCTGTAGCCGGTCACGCAGGCCCCTGCCACATGGGGGAGAAATTAATCATCCCATGGGGTCTGACCGTAGGCCCATATGCAATGTCCGGCTACAGGACCCATACCCCGGTCGTGCACGCGCTGGTGCCAAGGACGACTAGGGCCGACAGACCCTCGAATTGACCCAG